TTGAACATCAGACCCTTTGCTCTGCAGGCTGGCACTCAATCCACTGAGCCACACCAGCCAGCATCCCCTAGCTTACTTTATTGCAAGAATACAGCACGTAATACATATACAGCATGTGCGTTAATCGACTGTTTATGTTATCGGTAAGGCTTCTGGTCAACGGTAGGCTGTTAGTTAAATTTGAGAGGAGTCAAAGTCATGTGCAGGTTTTGGATCACATGGGAGTCAGGACCCCTAATGCCTGCACTGTTCCCGGGTCGCCTGTGGTGTTGTCCCTGTTAGATTCAGAGGACTTGCGTTACTCCCCCAAGAAGCAGGGCTGAATTCTCACCGGGTTGGCCTGACCGCGAGGCCAGGACTCTCAAACATAGCACTTGTGTCTACATGAGACAGGGAATTTCATATTATCTTCCTCGACTGTTTACACGTCTTCATCAACACAGGCAGAAAATTGGAGACTGGCTGGGCCTGGGAGCCAGCTGCCGGGTAGGGGCCGACAGACACGGGCGCTGGAAGCAAGGAGCCTCTGCAGTAAGAGGCGCGGGGCTGGCTGGGGTCAGCGTGGCTGGGAAACAGGATTCGGAGATGAGGCAGGCCGGGAGCGAGGAGGCTCACCTGCTGGGTGACCTTAAGGAAATCACTCCAGCTTTGCAGCCCCCACAGGTGCCCATCAAGGAAGAGGGACATGCTCTGGCCAGGTAGCTCAGTTGGTTAGAGCATTGTCCTGATGCAGCAAGGTTGCAGGTTCGGTTCCCGGTCAGAGCACATGCAAGAAGCAACCAATGAGTGCATCAGTAAGTGGAACAACAGATCTCTCTCTCTCTTTGTCTACCCCACCCCTCTTCTCTCGTCCCTCTAAAATCGCTAAATAAAAATACAAAAAAAAAAAAAGAAGGGACACAACGACTGCTCCTTTCCATGTTCCATCCGGAGGCCGTAAAGTGGTGACATCGGTGAGAACGTCCCAGCGGTAACAGCACGAAGGTGTTGTGTCTTGTGTGAACAGGTCCTGAGGGAAGGGCAGTAGCTGAAAGTACTTCATCAGAAGCGTCCCCCTTAGGGGGACGGCGCCACCTTGGGCCCCCCCCCAACGGCTCCCTGAAGCCGTCCCACTGGTTCTCCCCACCACTGTTGGAACCAACGGCCGCTTCTTTGTTCGAACACCCAACAAAATGCAAACTCCACAGAGGTCTAGGACGTGCCCCGTGTGCCCGTGTTGTGTGAACAGCATGTATCGTGAAACATAGAATCCCCTCAGCGTGACGCCGTGCTCATGGGCAGAGCCCCGAGACCCCACAGAGGGGCTTTGTCACAGCCAGACACACTCACAAACCAGAGCAAGGGACAGAATCGCCCATTCTTTCTTTTTACTCTTAGTATAATTGTTGAAAGTTGAAAGCCCGTTTGACGTGAATTTCCTCTCCGTGTGTATATATGTACGTATGTAGGTACACGTGCTCATTCATTCATTCATCATTTTCTTGTGCAACAAGAAAACCAACTCTGGAGTGACCGAATTTTGATGCTGCTGTTGCCTGTTAGTTTTGTTCCCTATAAACGGGGCCACCGATGACCTTGACATTTAACCCTGGTCTTCAGCCTGGACAAACAAGGGCTGCCTCTCACCCCAGGTGACTCGGAACCCTGATAGGTGACCTTCCTGAGCAGCTGAACACTGAGGGCCCTGTCTGGTTCTCAGCGAGGAGGTAATGACAGCAGAGAATTTCCCCTTGGAGGGCAAAGCCAGGGTGTTAATTACCACAGGTTAATTAACAGTAACTAATACAGAGCTGCCTGCCATTTCCCAAAGACAGCCACAGGCCGACCCCTGCAGTGAGGGGGGGCGACCCTCAGGAAGCAGGTTCCCTGGGTTCTCCACCCCACGCCAAATGTCCCCATCACAAGCTCAGCCACGGCTATTTGGAGGAGAGGGGACCTGATTCGTATCCCCGACATCAAAATCCCAAAGCCCCCAAGACACAGACAAGCAGGCCAAGAGCCCAGTTAACATGGAGCCTCCGCCACGCAGGGTTTGCGGTGACGCAGGGAAGGGGCTGAGCGTTGTGCGGATCCTTTCAGAGCTCCCCGCATGGTCCGTGTGTTCGGTTTCCAGGAGCAAACACAGAAGCCACGTGTTGCTTGTTTCAAGGTCCAGTCAGCTCAGGCCCTTAGGTCGTGACTGCGTCTGATGACCCTGGGCCACAGGTGACAGGAGGCTGGCCCGTGTCCTTCCTGCCACAGTCACTTAAAATCACTACCTGCGTTCCACACCACCCATTTTTGCCAAGTATCACGTTGCCAGAGGTAACAGATGCCCTGGGACCTAAACCTACAATAAGAGGCGTTTTTCAGTCAGGTAGTCTTTCATTTAAACTGAAAATAGCCCAAAGTGTTGTTTACGGGAACCTCAAATATCAAGGCTGCCTGCTCCAATGCTGGGTCATCAAACTGCGAGTGGCGGAGGCACTGAGGGGGCCTTGGGACAGCTAAACCAGCTCGCGTGTGGTCGGCAGGAGAGAAAGCCACGGCTCCCACTCTCCGCCGAGCTCGCTGACTGGAACGTTCCTCGGGGAAGACTTCAGGGGGCCGGTGGAGGGAAATTCTAACGTCAGCGTATGGTGGCCGATGGTGCAGTCAGCCCTTCTGAGCAATGTTTGAAACAGAGTTTTGTCTCTGGAGAGGTCGGCTTCCCTGGCCAGCAGGGTCTGGCTGTGGGCAAGGGGGCCTCTTTCAATTTCAGAGCCAGCCTGACTGCTGTAGAAAACTCAGAAGCGGCTGTGGTGCCAGGGCTCAGATCTCCTCGCACTGTGGCTTCCCAAACAATGTCCTTGTTTGGAGATCTGGTCCGGTGGCCACTCGGGAGACCCCAGCCCAGCCGGGTGGCGGGGTTGGCGGGAGACTGGAGGTGGTTGGGTGTACCGGGGCTAAGCCAGAAGAACAGTTGACTTGTGTTTGTTCTCGGAGGATCGGATGCTCCAAGGTTGTCCACAGGCAGCTGGCCTGGTCCCCAGACTCTGCCAATGCCTCATTGTCAGAGGTACCACAGAGAGAGCGGCTTTTTGTCAGGAGTCATTTTTCTTCTGTAACATCTACGTGTTTAATTTGCCGAAACCCATCACCATTTTCAGAGTGACCCATTTGAGACCACTGTCACTGATTCGATCCGCAGATATCAAATCAAACCCTAAATCAAATTTAAGGTGACTTTGTATACATCCTCTGATAAATGCAATTGAAAAGCCAGTTAGCTTCTTCCTGGAAAGTGAACATGACACAAAGATAGGGCAGACAGGTAAATGGGTGGCTGATTGTAGATATAAATAGATAAGCAGGGGAAAAAAGTAAAAAGCTTTTACTTTTGGCCCTGGAAAATGAGTAATGGCCATTGGAATGGCCAGAGTAATGGCCCTGGAAAATGACTCATCTTACAAAGCAAAGCAACCATTGGAGGCACATCTCAGTCATTCATCTTGGTCAGATTTAGCTGCTGGTTCCTCGATCCTTCACTTCACCCTGGTCAGGTGGACACTGGGCTTCTAGGCAGGAAGACAGCAGTGACGGCGACCAGTGGTGGCTTGCTCTGCTGAGCAGGCAGCCACTGTCCTGGATCCGCATGCCATTAGGGGTGTGGCTTCTCCAACTCAGGGGCACTTTGCAGAAAACCCACCCAATACGAATTTACAGCGCTCTTGAGCTGTGACAGCCACTGGTGAGGACCCTGGGGTAGGAGGCTGCCCGAGGGAGCCTGGTGAAGTGGAAGGAGCTCGTGGGAAACCCAGAGGGGAGCTGGGGAGACGGGTCTGGACCAAGGAGCAGCGTGCCATCCTCAGGAAAGCCCTTTGTGACACAGTCAAGTGACCAGTGACCAAAAAATTGGTTCGAGTAGGGAAACATAAAGAGAGTATACTTGGGTGCCTTAAACATTATTTTTTAATGTACACCATGAAAAATGCTGTTTTCTCCTTTTTCACCAGTTTTCTGATGGCAGGTGAAAGCCTTCCCTTGGAGGGTGGGCGCATCTGTCCTTTGGACTTCTTGTCACTGTCCCTCACCCATGGACCAGAACTCCGTGGCAATGTGTCTGAGTCCCTGTGTGGCTTTCTTTTATTTTTAGGTTGGGTAGAATATAAGAGACCCTTGTGACGCAGTCTGGGGAAGATATTTATTTTGGGTTTTTGTTTTTAAAGACTCTATTTTTAGAGAGGAAGGGAGGGAGGGAGGGAGAAAGGGAGAGAGTCACTGACCGTTTTGCACCAGTGTCACCTGCACCGGAGAAATGTTTAATACCTACTTTCGAGTGAATGAAAGCACATTTCCCTCCGACTGTGGACACAGACCGGGCATCCTCATGCTCACTGAGGCTCTCCCTGCAGAATCTCGGGCTGCCCGCCCTCCTGTGTCCTGTGACTCGGTTTACCCAGGGACAGTGTGGGTGCAGTCAGATCATTGGTCAGCGCAGGGTGGCTGCTTGCTCACGCCTTTCTGCACAGGCGTCCTGGCGTGTGTGAGGTAGCTTTGGGCAGGGAAGGTGACAGGTACCATCTCGGTAGACCGAGGTGTAATGGTGTGAAAGACTAGGAAGCCCCATTTTTCCTCCGTTTGACAATCGGTACCCCAACATTCTCTAAGAGTTTTGTTTGGCTCCTACCAGCCCTTCCCACAGCAACCTCTCTTTGAGGCTGCCAATTAATGGGATACGTGGGGGGCGGGGGGTACCTTAGTGCCGAAAAGCAAGTCTCGTCATCAGAAACTATAGTATCCCCATGAATATAATCTCTTCATTCATTTGTCATTTAGCAAATGGTATGAGTGCTTTTGGGCTCTAAATTCATTCATTAGGTAAGCAACTCATCACCCTCTTTACTTTCCTGTGAGTTTGTGAGTCCTGGTCGGCACTGGGAGAGCAACAGCCGTGACCCTGTGTCGCCTTCTGTATTTAAGACCTGAGCTCAGGAGCCTGTAGCCTAAGTGTCTCTCTCTCCTCTCCTGTCCCTCGGCAGCTTGGGGATGAACCACGACGATGACCACTCGTCCTGCGCCGGCAGGTCCCACATCATGTCGGGAGAGTGGGTGAAGGGCCGGAACCCCAGCGACCTCTCCTGGTCCTCCTGCAGTCGGGATGACCTTGAGAACTTCCTCAAGTAAGTCCTTGCGCCCTTCTATGCCTTGCATGCCCCAGAGAGCATAATACTTCCAGGAGACGCCGTAGCTGGGCCTCAGCAAGTGCGTGGAGGGGAGGGGAGTGTCTTTGCGAAGTCTTGGTGGGCCTACAGCCGTCGTCAGTGCGGTATCTTTGGCTTCCACCTACTTCCTCCCTCGTGGGCCTTGGTGTGACGCGGGGCAGCCGGCTGGTTTTCATTGATGCTTGTCAGCCAATAGAGCTGTCAAGACAGTGAGCGTGTCCTGACCCCGGGCTTATTTCTCTGCAGTGTTCTGTGGGTGGACACCTTAGCGGCACCAGTGACCGCTGTAGGACAGACGTGTCCCCCGTGCTCGGGGATGCGCATTCTCGGGGGAGAAGGGCTCACTTACCTCCCTCCCTCCTGGGGGTCGGAGGGTTTACCTCCCCGACACTCACTTCCCAGAATGTGTCTGTGTTCTCGGGTTTCTGTGGGAGAACCGACCACCTGATTTTGGACCTTCATCACACAGAGTCTGTGCCAGGTCCCGTGTGGGTCCCTTAGTGTCAGGACCTCTGGGCCGGTTGATGGCAGACCTTGGTTGCTTCCCCTCTTGGCTGCATTTGTCTGTACACCCCATGGGGATGGAAGTGCCTCTATGGGCCTTGATCACTGCAGAGCTTTACGCCAAATGTCACGTTCAAGTACCCAGTGAGTTCTGGTGAGCCAGTAGAGACAGCACTCCAGCCTCTGTCCTCGTCCTGGGTCTTCTTTTATGGCGGTACCCGGAGACAGGGAAATTCAGTGGTTCACGAGGATTAAAAACAGACTCATTCCTTTTCATAGGGTCTGGTTCCTGCTGAGTCCTTGGTGCCACAGAATGTGCACGGACTACTGTAGCCCCTTGACATGGTTTTGTCACGCAGAGGGCCCAGGAAATGAGGCGGGGTGTGCTCATTTGTTCTCCTACGTGGTGTGTGTGTGTGTGTGTGTGTCTGAGTCTGGGACAGGTGGCCCCAGTGTACTTAGGTGCATGCAACTCTTTTCATTGTTTTTTTTTAAAGATTTCATTTATTTATTTTTAGAGAGAAGGGAAGGGAAAGAGAAAGAGAGGAAGAGAAACATCAATGCGTTAGTGGCCTCTTGAGCACCCCCTACTGGGAACCTGGCCTGCAACCCTGGCGTGTTCCCTGACTGGGAGTCAAACTGGCGACCCTTTGGTTCACAGGGCAGTACTCAATCTACTGAGCCACACTGGCCAGGGCTGCAACTCTTTTTCTTCCAGAATCTTAAGAGGAGGCCAGCTTCTGTTTCTTCTACCATCTGCCTTGTTTGCGAAATTAAAAAGCAAAAGCATTCAAATCATGAACCTCCTAATGTAGCTACAGCCTCACAGCCCCGTTCAGTTTCTTGGAGATGCTCTCAGCATCTCTGAACATCTTCATCCTGGTTGCAACCTTGAAACCCTTTGCAGAGTGCACCCTGGGCCACCTCAGAGGGGTGGCAGAGATGTTGTCAGGTGAGACACCTGCCCCAGCCAGTTGCCAAAGCCTGCCAGGCCCTCCAAGAGGATCTGCAGGGTGGGAAAGGAGCACTCTATTTTTACTTAAAATAAAGGACAACAACCCTAACTCCTAATAAAGGAATTTTTTTTTTTTACTCCTAGTAACCTTTGCTCAAAGCCATATTCTAAGAAAGTATCAGAGGAACCCATTACAAAAGTGCTTTCATCCAAGAAAGAGCTCAGACTCCCCGAGAAAAGTCCACGGGTCTTGTGGGCATTGCTCCCAGGCCTGTTCCAGTTGCCAAGCTCTCGTTGCCTTGGGACTCGGGACACCGACCCGGCCATGTGGTAAAAGAGCAAGAAGTTAAAAAAGCTGAGTCCCTGTGTTTGGTGCATAGACCACTTTCCCATAAAAAATCCGGAGGCGCATCCGTCTCAGTGACTGGAAATCAGAATTAAAACCTGGACAGTGCCTTTGCAAGCCGACTTGCCTCTTGGCTATTTCAGGTCGAAAGTCAGCACCTGTCTGCTGGTCACGGACCCCAGGAGCCAGCATGCGGTGCGCCTGCCCCACAAGCTGCCCGGCATGCACTACAGCGCCAACGAGCAGTGCCAGATCCTGTTTGGCACCAACGCCACCTTCTGCAGAAACATGGAGGTAAGTGGCCCTGGGGCGGGGGTAGGGGTTCCGGGAGGAGCATCTGGCTTTCGCTGGAAGACACAGATACTCACACTAGACACACATGCATGTAAATGAGCACACATATATGTGTGTGTGCACACCCACTCACATACACGGTCACATATATACATCTACCCTGTGCACACACACGCACTCACCCACACCCAGCCAGAAAGGGGTGGGCTGAAGACCACGCCCAGGTGTATCTTGTGGGGGCGACTTCTTCACGAGTCCCCCCAGTGCCACGGACACGAGTGAATGAATAATGACCGAGAGATGCTGGATCTGCTTGGGGAGGAGGAGTGGGCTGTGGCCAGTTTCTCAGGGGAGACAAAGGCCAGCAGCAGCCAGTTTCTCCGAGGAGAAAAAGGCCCCAAGCACCCTCTTCCATAGCCTTTTATTGGGTCGTAATACACAGGAATACGGGCGGCAAGGATCAAACAGTAGATAACATTTCAAAGAAATCTGAGGGCTTCAGAGTCTGAGTCAGTGTCTGTCAGGAAGAGAGTTGCAGAAACTTTGGGAGACATACTCATTTCTTCTCGGACCCTTATCATATGAATGAAAGCACTCTTAGCAGAGCAGATTTCACAGGTTTATCAGTAATTCTTTGTGATCCAGATTTTTCCCCAGGACATGCTCTAGCGAGACAAGAAGCTGCACCTCTCCCCAACAGGTATTCAGGCTTAAAGGGATTAGAGCCAGGAAGCGCTTCTCCCAGAGAACATGGGGACTCGGGCTATGTCAAAGCTGGGGGCGAGAGTCTATTGCTCTTGATTATAGCCCCCCGAGTCCTTCCGTGAAGGCCTCCCAGGTGATCGAGTCTGGCTTAGGTTGCCCCCCGCTGTGAGGGGTCTCACCCGTCATTGACTTCCGACAAAGCTTTGGGGGCAGGGAGAGGAAACTGAGGCAGCGTTTGCTACCAGAGACAGGCTTTGTCTCCTGCGGCTGGCATTCCAAAGGTCGTCTCTCGTCCTTAGCCACAAGGGGTAGAGATACAATTCCCAAAACTAGACAGAGTGGTCTACTATGGTATCTGTTATCAGGGAGACGAGAAACCCCAAAGGGAAGGAAGGCGACCAGGTACTTTCCTTTCCTTCATCAGCATCTTTTTGTTGGACGGGGACCATGAGAGGTCGACCAAGTGACGATCAGCTCAGCAATGAAACATATAAGCTCAAAATACAAATATACGTAAACTGTGATCTTCCTGTGTTGTAAGTGGCCGTGAAATGGGACGCTTATTTCCCCATCTCACCAGGAACCACGAAATGTTTCCCTGCCTGCCTCTTCCTCGCCTTTTCCCCAGTACCGAGGTCAAATTGGCATTTCCTTCCCCTTAATTTTGCATAGTTAAGTGGATGAAAACTACATCAACCAGTAAACTACACAGTGGAGTAAGAGCTTCCGGGTCAATAAGGAAGTACACTGCATACCTCTCTGATTCCTTAAGCTCAATGTAACGGTGGGTTGTGAATGCACATTAGTCATTTGTAGTCCATCTCGGTAAGAAACGGAGGCACCTTATATTCATTAGGGTTCAAGACATGCTCCGTTTAGATGTCGTCTCCTTGAGGCCCCACGACCGTCCCCAAATGGGGGAGACACCCCATTTGGGTGTCTCCAAATGGACCGTGCCATCCTCTTCCTTACACTAATAAGCGTACCCATGACCCCTCACGGCGTCTCCCGTCATCTCAGAGGGAGTGGCCAGGCCCGCTTTTCAACAAAATGCTCCAAACCTCTCGGGGTCCCCTTTAATAGGGAAAAAAAATTGTGCTTACTAGACACCACGAACAAGAAAGGAAAACACGCCCAGGCAGGAGGTTCAGAGGAATGGATATGGTGAAGGCGTGACAACTCCAAAAACCCGGAGGAATTCCTGCAAAACCACACTCGGGCCTGGCAGTTGGGAACACCGTCTGGGCTCCCAATCCTGGGCTCCCCCATAGGCCGCTGCTGGTGAGGAGTTCCCTGGCAGGGTGCACAGCTGGCCTCACTCCGCAGAGCCAACGGGGTGTGGGGGGGCTTGGAAAGGCACCTCAACATGAATAAGGCAGCTGGGGCACCTTTTGTCTTAAAGCTTTCTGGAACTTTAAGTCTATGACAGGGAAGAAAGTAATAATGAACTATAACAGAGGTTGACCCAGCCAAAGAAGCAAAACCGCAAAACACACATGCACTGACAAGTCGAAGCATTTCTTTTTCTGGAATACGAATCGTAAAAGCCGGGAAGAAAAGAAATGGGACAGATTGTGTTTTGAGGAGAAATTCATGGCCAGAGGTCTCGTTTTGCTGCTGCCTTTGGTCAGGGACAAAAGCGTATTCCTGGTAGAAGGTGGGGGCCCGTTGTCTCAGGAGAGATGTATCTTTGTTATTGTGTAAAATAACTGGGGTCCGTGGATCGGTTGCAGAGGCTTTGTGAACAGGGAGAGGAAAGACGTCGTGCCTTTATTTTTCTCTAACCTGTAACTGAAGTGAGTGTTCCCTTCACTTGGGAATGCAGGCGTGCGCCACAGCTGTATTCGCAGCACCCGTGAGCCGTGATGAGGCATCACCGATCTTTTTACACTGCATGACAGTTGTAGCCGATATCTCAAAATATCATTTACACTCACCACTACTTCAAAATTTCTTAGGCTGTGGCTGGGTGGCTCCGTTGGCTGGGGCATTGTCTCACAGATGAAAAGGTTGCCAGTTCGGTTCCCAGTCAGGGCGCATAGAAGACGCGACCAGTTTCTCACATTGATGTTTCTCTCCCTCTCTTTTCCTATCTTCCCATCTCTCTAAAATTACCAAGCAGGTCCTCAGGCTAGGATTAAAAAAAGCAAAACTACAGCTCTTAGTAGGCCCAGGGCTAAGATCTTGTTATGTAGTGAGCTGACAGAGACACCCATGTTACTGTCAACATGCTATGCATTGGTAGTTATTTTTATATTTTGAATTATATTTCACTGTTCGCTTGGTAATCTGATGTACTTTTCCTTACATACTGACAAATATTATGCTGAGGGAGCGGGTCAGGGTCTCCCCCAGGTTGTCTCCTAGCACAAGGCCAGGTGCTGGGCACCCAGTGGCGGTGGCAGTGGGCCAGCATCTGTCCGCGGCCGGAAAGGCTGGCTTGGGTGGGTTACGACTCTTCTGTAGGTGGAATCAGGAACACAGAACCTCCCTCCCCTGGACTTCCATGCACGTTCCTCTTCTGGCGTTCACCACTTGGGGCCATGTTAAGACAAATCCACATGCACAGCCACTTCCTTGCTCGAAGGTGTCAGGTAAATGCGTTTGGGAAAACATCACTGTAGTTGATTTGGGCGTAGCCTGGCTTCAGACAGTAACCAGGTTCCTGCTCCTAAACATCTGCCTCCCGGAGAAGCAAGAAAAGTTAGAACACAGTCCATTCTCATTTCTGGGGCCCTGGGGTCCCCCCAACACCGCCACCACCGTGTCTGTCTTTCATGACTACAGAATGCCAGTACTGTAAGGCTCAAAAAGCCGTCCGTGGAAATAAGAACTACCACCAAAAAAAAAAAAATTGGCATCAGCTAGCTGGCATTTGTTGCAGAAGTTATTGGCAAATAGCTCTGTCTCCTCTTTTAGCCAATGGTAATGTGATGTTTTTAATTCAATAAAGCGTTTCAAGAAAGTCCAAACCTAAACGTTATAAACAGCGGGTAGTAAATATTTATTAGAAAGGGGAAACGAACTTTACGCAATTAGCCCAATCCATCTTTTTGATGACTCCAAGCCCCTCCCGTCCCTGTCAGTGGTCACTGCAGAGCAGGGTCACCCTTCCACGAGACTTCAAAGCTGGCGGAGCCCAGACGTCCTGCCAGGTGAAGCAGCGGGCAGGACGGCCAAGAGGAGGTAGTGTCAGCTGAAACAAAGCGTCTGGCATTGCTCCTGGAGACAGGAGCAAGAAGTGGGGAGCCGGGCCACATGCTGGTGATGCTCCCAGTGCCACAAAGCCCTCACCCCATCTCCCCATGACAGCAACATTAGTCCAGCCCCTCCCCTACTCACCCTCCCTGCTTCCTGGCAATGCCTTCCACCCACGTTGCTCCAAAGTCCACGCGTCCCTGGTGAGGAAGGCTGAGCTGGGAAGTGATGGGCACCAGCCTGGTGAGTGGACTTGAACGCCATTGTGCCCAGGATCCGGCCTTCCCAGGGGACTGAGGTGTGCGCGTTCTCCTTTCTTGAGGACAGAAGCTGGAAGCCTGTCCTCAGGAGTGACTAGGATGGTAACAGGCATTTGAGGGTCTTATGCTGTTTTTCTCTCTCATGTTCACGCTTTTGCCCTTTTCCATGTAATTCTCCTGGCCTTTCCGTGTAGCCTGGAGGCAGGTGCCGTCCGGAGGGCCCCAGGGTGGAGAAGCTGGGCTCTGGCGTCAGGCTGCCCAACAGTGGTGTGCCCTGCTCCTGGAGCACGTGACGTCGTCTCTCTATGCCTCAGTGTGCGCATCTGCAAAATGGGAAAAGCTGTTCTCCTTACAGCTCACGGGGTGGTGAGGACGGTCAGGGACACGGGGATGAGGGCGCTCAGTCAAGGTGAGCCAGTATCGTTTTTCCACGGCCTCGTTTCCCGGGGCCAGTGGGAGAGGCGATGCCCTTTAGCTGGTCCTCCCTTCCCGAGTCTTTCTCCGTGCTGCCCTCTCTACTCCTCCTGGCGCTCTGGGCGTCTGGGACCCCCGGGAACTGCATCTCCACACGCGGCGTCTCTTCCGACACCCGGTCCCCAGGCGGGGAAGCCTTTTCCCATCCTTTCCCAAGTCCCGTGGAGGTACCCAGGGGCATCTTTCTTTTAAATCAGTGTTTTATTTTTCTCTTCCAGTTACAGTGGACGTTCAGTATTATTCTGTGTGAGTTTCAGGTGCACAGCCTTGTGGTTTGGACAATCGAACACTTTGCACAGTGTTCCCCCCGGTATTTCCAGTGCCCACTGGCACCCTGCGTATTTATTACGGTCTTCTCGTCTC